CATGCACTATGGGAGCCATTCTAAGGCAGCCAGGGGTGGATTCTGCATGAGGCAAATCGCAGAGACAGGACCAATTGTCAAAATTTTGGTGTCGATCATTCGATTTCATCCTGGACACTACAGAAAATGGGCTAAAAGTGTTAAAAACCGGAATTTTCCTTTAAACAGATCGGTGTTCATAAAGACCTGCCTTTTCTCAGCTCCCATGCATCGATGTCAGGCTTGTTGAAGTATGTCACCCAGCGGGCATCAAACTCTTCATCCGTCTCCTGCTTCCCGTGGGAGTAACACCTTGATGCCAGAGGAGCTGTGTGGTTAAAAACAAACACATTCAGAGGCTAAGATGGATAAAATGCTTCCAGTGCTGTTCGGTGTTACGCAATAGTTAAACATGGAAGATGAACAGAGGACAAGTTTGCAGAGAGCGAAGGAGAAAAAGGACAAACTGTGTGACAGGTGGATTACTTCCATTGTCCGGATATGAAACTGCACGTAGCTCAATTCACTTATAGGTCTATTGTAAAAGTGATCATCATATTGTTGCTCCCTCTGCCCTACAGCGGCTTAAATAAGCTAAACCAGCTCATTAACGCTGCGATGACGTGTCTTTCTCAGGCGTCCCAGACGCTGTCGGTCCATTTTACAGCTGAGATAACCGCAGCTAACACCATTAGCATGTCCCGGCTCGGTCATGGCAAGGACACAGCTGCCACCGAGCCAAAAACTGATATGATATGGCAATAAAACAGTTTATAATTTGTTAAATAATGCGTACTTAAAGAAAAATGTTAAGTTATAGACCAAAATATTAAGAAGTTTTAATCAGACTGAGTGTATTTTCAGTTAGCAGCGGTGGGCTGCTAGCTAACCTGGCTAAGAGCACTGATATATCCGAATGAACTTCGCCCCTTCAGATTTATACGCTTCCGCGATTAAACGGTTCATCACCCGAGATAAATAAGTGACAAATACCTTGGCACCTTGGCTGTGTGCGAGTTAAACTCCGAGCACCGGAGACCGACAGTCGGACGGCAGCTCTGAACATGATGGGGGACAGCCAGCGAGGGGAACCGGTGAGATTTATCCGGAGGAAGCCGCTGCAACTGCACGAGCCCAGCTAATGTGTAATATCCTGCTGCGCATGCGCAGACCGGAGATCATTCCTGCTTTGGTTCTAAGAGGACAATGTATGGAGGACCAGTTCTACCATATTTAGAAATAAATAGAAACAAATTCTTCCTTTGTAATCTTTTTAACCTATTAATTTCTTCAATGTTATTTATTTAAGCCCGTCGTTTTTACATTTCTGTCTGCATTTCTGCCTCTTTATGCAATTGAGGAAAAGCTGTGTCTAAGAGGGTCAACTTCTGCCCATTGGTTGGTTAGCATTTGTAAATAAGGTAATTATTACAAAGGTGAAAAAACAGAGAAGCTAATAAAAGAGATATATACATTTATGGCTCACTGTATAACTTACATAGTAGAATATAGCAGAGCTGGTCCTACCATATTTAAAAATAAATACAGAAATAAATAAATGCTCAATAAATAAATAACCATGCAATTAATTGCCCCCAAAAATACAATTAAAAGAATAAATGTAGTTAGAAATTATACAGTGAGACATAAATGTTTATATCTCTTTTAATTGGCTTCTTTATTTATTCTCCTTTGTAATAATTATCTTATTTATTTATTGTCCGTTATAAGCTTCAACTTCATTTATTAATTACTTATTTTTTTTAGTATTTATTTACGTGCATGTTATAATATTTTTGTCTGTTTTATTCTTCCTTTGTATTTTTTTTTTTTACCTATTTATTTCTTCAATGCTATTTATTTCTGCCAGTCGTTTTTACATTTCTGTCTACATTTCTGCCTCATTATTTTACTTTTCCGTAACTGTTATTCAATAAAAATACGTTTTAAGATTATTTGAGGCTAGAACATTATACTTTTAAGCCTCACTATGTGTCTTACTGTCAAATAATATCTACCTATAATAATTACTGTATTTATTTTTCAAACATAATAATGAGAACATTAATAACACATAAAATAGTTATACATTATTATTATTACTATTAAAGGTACAGCATTCATACCAACAAATACCTTCTTTTAATCTGTTCTTTTTTTGCATATTGTAATGTAAAGTATATATTCTCAAATAAATAAATAATAAAAATAACTTAAACTTCATTGATCTCACAATAAAGAAATCAACACTCTGTATTTAACCCATCCCTTTTGGGGAGCAGTGGGCTGCCATTGTGTGGCGGCCAGGGAGCAATCTGGGGTTAAAGGAAAAGTCCGGTCTGCAAGGAATAGTCAATCGCGATCGCTGAGTCCGGGAGCGGCCATTTTTGCCCACATATAGTAACCCCTCCCTCCTGCCATCTTCCAGCAGTGACGTCACGGTGCGG